GATGTTTTTGTGTCATCTTAATGTTTTTGCAGCTGTTAATGTTGACCTGCTCTGGGTTTTCAGAGCCACCATACACACAATGTATACAGTCAGACTACAACCTGCAGTTACATGAAAGGGGCGATATGGCAAAATATTTTATCATAATATTGTATTTTTTCCATATCATATTGATAATTATCATGATAAAATTCAAATTATTATTTCTTTACTTCAATGGTCCATTTTTGCTCAAATTTCCCTTAGAACTGCCCTTAAACAGATTCAGAAAATGAAAAAAGGCAACAAATTTAATGGACTGCAAACTGAAATCTACTTTTAATAAATGAATTAAATGAAAATAAATTTGTTTGTTGTAGGCCCTCACTAGAAAATGCCAATGGTACATTTTGTTGCTACGTTTTTTTTTCTGTCTGCCTTGCTGTTTGTTCCAGGGAATGGATTTGACTAGGACTGGGCAATAAGCCTTAAAAACATTTTTTTTTTTCGGAAATATTCTCACAATGATATTTCTCACAATATTATAAAATTAATATGCAGAATAGAGTAAAATATGACAAAATGTTTTGAGTTTTTCTGACATGGGCGACTTCACAAACCCAGCTGGAGAGGAAGAGTGTGTCAGGGTTGGGGTGGGGTGGGGAAGGCGGGGTGGTCAGGGGCAGGGGTGGAGAGGATGGAGAATCAAGAGAATGTCGGGTAAATTATAAAGGGAGTGCTCAGTCAAAACCGAAAAGAAAGAGAAAAAATAAAAGAATTTTAAGCGAGTATCACAAAAAATTTGGGCATAAATCACATGTGGGTGGAAAAGAAACGAAATAAAAAGACAGTAATAATGAGAAGGGAGTGTGTGCAGATGAAATGCATGTTAATGCCCTTACTGACCTCTGCGGTAAAACCCAACGGAAATCGAGGCCCTGACTGAATGGCGTCAGGCTCTTTGAGGTCATGTCACTTAACAATGTCATGTACACTTAACAATACACATGGTACACACAACACTAAAACAAATTATTTATTTAACACACACGCTTATTTATTTTTCATATTTGCACATATCAACATACCTATACAAACACATCATACTGGAATGTCTTCTTGCTATTTTGCACGCTACTTTGTATATCTTTGTATATCTGTATATAACTCTTTTTAAAACCTGTGTCTTGTCTTGTCACTGTCTTTCTGTTGCACTGTAGAGTTCTGTCACTACAACAAATTCCTCGTATATGTCAACATACCTGGCAATAAAGCTTATTCTTATCTTCTTATCTTATCTTATCTTCTTATGTGTGTGCACATGTCGGGTCGGTATTGCATTGCTGTTGCAAACCGGATCTATCTCGTTTGTCCAGCTTTCTGATTAGGGTGACTGGTATGCAAATAATGTCTTTGGGTGTGTCTAAAACCACATATTTGTCTCTTGGGTGGCTTTTCCACCGCACAAAGTACCGTAGGCTACTTTCGGTTCAGTACTTTCGCTTTTCCATTGACTTCCGGTCGAGTACCAGTACCGAAATCTCGAGTACCGAAAGTGTCAAACCAGTTGGGGTACTCCTTTGGTACTTCGGGGTGGGACTTGCAAACGTTTTTGCTGTCGATTGGTTATGCAAAAAGCCACCCACATGTGAACACAAAATACAACCGCCATCTTTTGAAACACACAGCGAACAGAGCGATCACAGCAAGAAACAAAATAAAAAGCAGTAGAAACAAAAATATAAAAAAAAGTAAAATGGAAGGATGGACAAACGAGGAAACACAGGCTTTAATCGCCATATGGTCGGATGAACAGATCCAGTGGGATTTGGATGGCACAACTCGAAATAAAAAAGTTTTTGCCGTTCCCGGCAATTCAGTTTCCCTATATATGTTTCCCCTGTCGCGCGCTGATTTTTAGCTGTTGTTTTCATGTCTTTTTACGAAGCTCTTGAGGTAAACAAGCCATATATTAATTTTAAAACATCACATATGCCTTTTCTATGTTTTTTGTTTTTACAGATAATAAATGAAATTACTTAATTTTCTGGATAGAGATATTTCTTGATGAAAATGGTACAGTATTGCTTATAAGACTATATTATGCGTGACGATCTACTGTATTCACATGTAATAATGTACCTGACTGATTTTCAGACATTTCACATACCTCTTTGCTTTAATATTAGAGGAAACATTATTTCCTGATAGACAGAAGAAACATAGGGAAACTGAATTGCCCGGAACACCGTAATACCAAGCCGCTTGGAAGAAATGGGGCACACGCGAAACACCGAACGATGCCGCTTGAAAAT